AGGCACCGTCTGGACTCGATGATCCTTTCTCGGACGAAAAGCTGATCATGAACGTCACTGTGCCCCATCAAACGTTTCCTGATGTTGCCCCTCCGCCTTACGACTACTACGTGAACAGTACTAAATCGCAAACAGCTAAGGATTTAAAGGATGGGAGTTTTTCTGACCAGAAAAGGTCGACATCAGAAATCGATCTCAAGACCTCTTCTCCTGAAGCGCTCGAGAAGACAAACTCTAAAGAAAGTAAAGAGTCCTCTGGCGACAAGAAAGCGAAGCGGCCTATGTGGAAGGCGTTCATGAAGCGATCTAGCAAGCAGGAGCCTACCAGAAGCTTGTCTGATCTGGTCGACCGCACAAAAAGCGACAATACATCACCACCAGCAACGCCACCTGTGATCGTCAGTCAAGTGCAAGAGACGCCAGCTGCAATCGAGACGCCGTCGGAGCAAGAAAATTATTTTCAGCTTCAAGCAGCCATGTCTGGCATGTCGATGACGACCACTACGGCAGAACTAACACGACAAGACTTTAACGACCTGAACGGCAATCACGCCAATCCGGAGAACAGTACTTCAGCGTCCGAACTTGATGCTTCTACGATCACCACACCACCAGACGAGAAGTTCGCCAGCAACAACCCATACAAGCAGATGCGTCTCGAAGCACAGTTGAGATCAGAAAGCAACGTCGCAAGCAAGTCCAGACCAAACTATCATGACCTACGTTCAGATTCAACAGATAATTTTTCCCGCATACGACCATCTCACATTGTCCGAGAAGCTCGCGAGCGATCTCAGAGCCGTGGTACCACATCCCCTCCAGAGCCTCTATCGCGGCAATCAACTGGTGGAGATCGCCTGGGCAGTATCAACTTCGGCTCCGCCTCAGACACCCAACAGACATGGCAGACAACAACCCTCACCAATCGCACCATGAAGTTCAAAATTCAGTTCGAGAAGGAGTCCTTTACCAACAAGATTTCCGCCTCCGCTGCTCGAGCTCTTGGCGTGTATGACACAATCGAAGACTTCGCTGGTATCCCAATCACACATCTGACGCTCCTGTACACGGTCTCGGATGGATTGTCGGCGGAAGCAGATACTGTGCTAGGTGACGAGGCTGAGTTCGTGGTGATGGATGAGCATGAGAGTGGGACGCCGTTGGTGGTCCTTGGTGCGGCGTCTGTGCATCTGGCGAGGATTGCGGAGGAGGGTCAGTATGTTTATTGGAGTCCGGGGGCTGTACCGGAGAATGTAAGGGGGCTGGATAGATTGAGGTTGTTTAGAAGGTTTGAGCTTGTGAGGTGGTGAGTGGTATTGGGATGCGGCGTAGTAGAATCCAAGAGGCGTAAAATTGCTTTAATGTAGCAAATGTCGTATAGCTGCCTCCAATGGCGCTGTCATGTCAATCCGATCCGGGCGAAGATAAAGCCACAAACCTCTTTCCTACTCAACCACTTCACTCCTTCAAAGCTCCTGATTCACCACATACATACTTCTCCCTCTCTAAAGTCCCCTTCACTTTCAACTCCCACCTCGGAGCATTATCATCATCAAGCGCTATCGTATCCCTGAACCCCTTCTCTGCCGTCCACACCACAGTCTCACCAAACGGCGCCTCATGGTTGCCCGACATAATGCTAAACCTGATATCCTGCAGCCGCCCCCGATGCGTAGCGGTAACCCTGATCTTCCAGTCCTCGGCCCTTCCTGCCCCACTGCAGCCTTGGTCATCGGGCCAACTCGAACGCACAGCCGCTGATTCAAAGACATGCATGCGTTTTATGATCTGGACTTCGACCCTGCGAGCGTCGGCTTTATTCCCGCCGGAGTCGCTAGGTCCTGACTTGAGTCCAAGATCAACGCTTTCATTCACCTGGTCAGTCATCGACGGATTCATGGCCACTGCAGCCCGCCACGCGTCCTCCACAAGCGGCCCATCAAATCTCTCTGTATCCCTCGCAAACCCCACAATCAACGGATCAAGGCTTCCACTCCACAGCTCCCTCGCCGTCCCCTGACACCTAAAGTTCGCGCTGCGGTAGCAATAGTCCAGCTCGATCCGCTTCAGACTTGGCAGACTCACCCACGGAATCCGATTCGTGAAGAGCGGCGGGGAACAGAAGACTAGGGTCTCGACGTTGTCGATTACCCATGCTAGACGGGTTGGTGAGATGCTGCGGAGGCGGTTGAGGAGACGCCATTGAATGCTTGAGGTTGTGAAGATTAGGTGGCGGGTGAAGGAGCGGCGTTCGTGGGTTTGGGCGAAGGTGGAGATGTGGCGGGAGACGAGGAGGAGGGAAGGGGACGGGGGCCCGTCGAGGGGAAGGGTGTGGTTGGTGATGCGGTCGTGGATGTAGAGGGCCCAGGGGGCGTAGCAGTGGTGGATTATGGTGTCCAAGATCTCGATGGGAAAGTCTGTGAGGGAGGTGAGGGGCATAGTGAATCTTTGATTCGGAGGCACGGGTTCCGGTGGTTGATCAAGTAGCTCTGGGCTTAAGCTCCGGGCCCTGCTTATCACTGCAGCAGGTGCAGGTATTGCAACCTAGTGTTGCGGAAACTGTGATGTAGATAGGACCAACTATTAATTCTAGTTCTTACAGTCCTAGCCCGGCCAATATATCATACGTTATATCCTGCAGCGGATTCATCGAGGAGGGAGAGTTACGCTTACTGTCATTGTCCGGAGCTAGTTCCGCTCGGCTGATAATGCCTCAGGCATTCACTCGGGGTGGTCATTGCACCTTCGCTTGCTTGCTTTATCTCAGATCCATATTTTTCGGTCGTTCTCTCATGATCACTGGTTCCAAGCAGCATGGAGTGTCAGGCACACCAACCGAGTTTCGTCCAAACTCAGGTTTGGTTATTCCGACGATGAGGTTCGGACGGTTCACCCAGTGCGGAGACACAATGGGGTCGGGTGTGAGGAATTCCGTCACAGAGGGCTTGCTTCTCCGCCCAGTGACGGGATTCCAAAATGCTTAGCTATCGTAGGACGAGCATATAAGAGCCAAGCCTCTGGCGCTTTGCTCTACTCCCGTAATACGTCGAGTTTCAGGACCTTGAACAGGAGAAAGCCTCGGAAATAGAGCTTAGTTTCGCATGTGGTCACCTCCTTCTTCTACAGGATCACTGCACTCTGCATACAGCTGAGAGCAAGCGCTCAAACCCACTTCAAGTCTACTGATTCATGTCTCCTTATATGCCATCCGAAACAGCAACTCACACCAGCAACATGCCCGACAAAAAACCCACCCTCTCAATCGGCATCGTAGGCGCCGGCCTCGGTGGCCTCGCAGCCGGAATATCCCTAGCCCGCGCCGGCGCAGCTGTAACAGTCCTCGAAGCGACCCAAGAACTCGGCGAGATCGGCGCCGGCATTCAAATGTTCGGCAACGTCTCTCGGTTCCTGATCCGGACCGGCGTCGACGCCATAATTGGAGACAACCTTGTTCAATGCGACGAACTTAGAACGTGGGGACAGGGTATGGACTCCGGCAATAATCTGCTCGGTAAGATCGATGTGAGGAAGGTGGTAAGGGACCAGGGGTTTCCCTGGTGGGTTGTGAGAAGGGATCATTTGCATATGGGCTTGGCTGAGGGGGCGAAGCGATATGGGGTTGAGATTGTGACGGGGTTCCGGGTGGGTAAGGTGGAGGAGCATGGGAGGGGAGAGGGCGTGAGTTTGCATAGTGAGAAAGGCGTCCACCGGAAGTTTGATTTGGTGGTTGCAGCGGATGGGATAAAGTCTTCTATGCGGCGCTCGGTATTTCCGGATCTGAAGCCACGGGCGACCTCCAATGTTGCGGCTTATCGTTGTGTGGTTCCGTATGAGGAGGTGTTTGCGAAGATACCTGAAGCAAGAAGTAGGATTGGGAATACGATGGATGTTTGGGTTGGGCCGGGTGGATATATTCTGTTGTATCCGTTGACGGGTGGAAAGGAGTTGAATGTTGTTACTGCTTTTGAGCAGACAAGACCGGTGACGGAGTTGGAGGATGTGGATGTTAGGGAGTTCCGGGATCACTATAAGGGGTGGGACCCGTTCATACTGAAGGTGTTGGATTTGGTCAAGGAGACGAAGAGATGGCCTCTGCTTGTGATGCCGCCGGTTAAGAGCTGGAGTAATGAGGACAAGAATATTGTGTTTATGGGAGGTGAGTTGCCCCTAAAAGGTGAAAGTGGGCTGTGTTAACCAAGCTAGACTCCATCCACGGTATGCAAAATCATATGGTAAGCTTCATTCTCGGCTTGTCTGATTACTCCGACTCACTTTCATAGGCACAAGGCGCAGCAACAGCCATGGAAGACGGCATCTTTCTCGGCCGTGTCATATCTGAAGTCATGCGCGGTACCATAAACCTCGAGACAGCGATCCATCTCTACGAGAAGAAACGCATCCCCCGAGCCTTCCATAAGCAACAATCAGCCTTCGTCAATGGCAAGCTCTATGCCGTCAAGGGCGACGAGAAAATTGCACGGGACAAAGGCATGGACCCAGAGCTGAAGGCTTGGGATCAAAGTGTTATGAAACCAGCAGATTTGCCCCCGACGTACAGGAGCTGGGCTATGTTCGCAAGTCCGGCTATGGTACCTAGTATTCTGTATTATGATGCAGAGGGAGATGCAGATTTTGCGGTTGATGAGTGGCTGATGAGCCAAGGGGACGTTGATGAGGTAACGCTAGTGAGTAAAGGATTGAGAGAGAAGTGGTTCAGTGCGATCTGGGATAATGGTGTTGAGAGGTGGAGAACTGCCAAACAGAGAAAGATAAAGCTGTGACACGTGGGATATGGCAGGGTTGCGTAATCAAGCCAATACTACTCAGCTCACGCCCGTCCCACAATACTTGTGCTATGGCGACTAAGGACATCATATGGAGGAAGTTTGCAACTCCCGTCAAGCGATATAGCGATCTCATTGTCTCGGAGTGGCCACCACAAAGAAAGTGAAGGTACATGTTCCTGATTAGCAAATTTGTGGTCAAGCTCAACAGCAAAAGCTGACATAGCTCAGTGGCAGAGCGTCGACCTGTGGAAGACAAAGAGGAAGTTGGGCTCCTTTGTCCGCAGAATAGTTGAAGGTCGTGTGTTCGATACTCACTGACGGCATTTCTTTTTGGATATTCAAGTATGCATCTCACTCTTGGGCGTTCAGTGTTGATTGATTGACAGCTGACTTGCATGCCATACCGCAAGCGAAGAAAGCATGGAAATACCACCCTGTCATGATTCTTCATAGCTCATAGGTCATGATATGCTAACATTGTCGCTCATCAACCTCGTTGATTGCTAATTGCGGACAGAGAACGCCTCGTCTAACGATCCTGAAGTGCTCCTTGATTTTGCGATCTGTCCCGTCGAAGGCCGCACTTCGTGCCTATCACGAATAATCATTGGATGCGATTGATGGATTCTGTCTCTTGTCCACAACGCTCTTCTTGCGCGTAGACCAAAATATCCGCTGTTGCCTTGCGCGCATTGAAGAATATGCGAGCTCGCGTACAAGCAAGCAACAATCTGCAACCTGTCTTGCTAGAAGTAACCAAGACTTTGCTGACTAGCACCTGCCGTGTTTCATTTCTGGCTGTTCAACGTTTTTCCATTTCGTTTCTGCGTTCAGGCCCATAGCTTCAACGTGCCTACCTGCGTTTTGAACGTCGGGCTTGACGACTCAAGTCACTTCTGTTTCCTTTGCCTTGCTCATCGCCATAGCTTCAAGGCTGGTTTTCGTCGGTCGACACGAAGCAGCATGACGATGCCAGTGCACATCCTGCTCCCCATCCGCGAAACGGAGCTTGCTCCTAGTCCAATCAGTGAAGGGGAATTGACATATGTGCGGTGGTGCATCCATAGTAGTGTGCCACGCGCTTCTTGCGGGTGGGACCGCTATCCGGTAGGATGTTTGAGCTTGGCACGATCGTGCAATGCCGTGTTTCATGCTTCCCATTGTCCCATCATATCCCAGCAAACCGCTGGAACACCGTTGCAAGTCACAGGTCGCCCGCACCATAGCTCCATGTCATGGGCTCATACTGGTCGCTTGACAACAGAGGCATTCGGTCACGCTGTCTCTTCCATGATACAGTTGTGGCTCAAAAGAACGCTGAGTGCTCGGAATACGTCTCTGTACGAGGGCCTTTCGGGCTGGGTCCAGACGTTTTAGTCCTGATCTTCCATTTCGACGTCTTCGTCTCCTGGCGGATGAGTATGTGCATTCTGTACGGTTCGATCCACGATCGGGCTGTTGGCCATCGAAAGGCTGATCCTTTGTCCTGGTGGCGAGGCTGGTGCGCTTCCGACTTGACCATTAGCGGTCCCGTTCGTGCCATTCCTGTGAGCATGGCTGCCAGGTTTCTGCATCATGTGAGCAATCGATCTCTGCTTCGAAGTCGTAGTCTGATCTCCGTTGGCCGTCGTGTCATTCGGGTCATCATTCATGGCGTCGTTGGCGGCATCGGAAGCATCTTTGGCCTTCTTCTCCTTCTCCTTAACCTGTTTGTAAGTGACCGTTCTCGGTACAGTATCCGAGAGGAATTGCAGATTGTCGAGTTTCGAAACCGCTGCTGCTATATCTTTGTACTGGATGTTCTTCCGCGGTTTCGACTCGGACTTGGCGACATTGTAGGCTTGCTCCGTAAGATAACGGAGGAACTCTTCCTGATGACCGGAGAAGAAAACGCGTCAGAAACGCGGTTCCCGCCATGAATCCAGGCTCATGTAGGATGTGGAAGACTTACTGTGGCCACTGAAATAGCGAAAGCGGCACCGTTCGAGCACTGGGCTATGTCTTCGTCTTGTGCTATGATCTTCTTGACTCTAGCAACTGATCTGGTCAGTATGGTGCCCTTGACAATTTCATACGCCGCGTACGAGGCAGAGCAGATGTTCCTGATATTTCCTCTGGTCGAGGTATTGCTGATGTATTGTAAGGCATAGTGTCCCGGTCTGATAGGAAGGCGGGTGATTATGATATAACGCGTCAAAGTGGTAGTTTTGAAAAGGTTAGTCATTATTGGCAAGGAGTCGAAAGGGTGATCGAAGGAAGTGGTCCTCCCGAAATGGAAAGGTCAAATCCGGGGTTGGCTTCCTCCTCAGGGATCAAGGTGATAACATGTGAAGCCTGCGGGATGAATGCACAACCTAGACACTTCTCTGTAGATATTGCTGGTGTCGCGGTGAATCCTTGTCATGATACGAGCATGAAAAGATCAATGTTATGAACCGTCCAGGCTCCTCCTCATCCGCACGACCTCCTGCGCGACCGTCCCTATCTCATCGCCGACTCTCTCGGCGGCTTTCTACCCTCTCTGGGCTCGAGGACGGCAACAATGCAGTGCCCCAGAACCCAGTCGACAGCGCCATCACAGAAGAGTTAGCACAACTCAAGAAATACGAAGACTTCACAACCATAGACTGGGTGCAAGATGCCGCAAGAGAACAGACCCGCAGAAGGACAAGACGGAAAGACGCTGCTTCATTCTTCCAGCGCGACGGAGTGTGGGGCTGGCGGAGGAAGTTATGGGAGTCCTACGATGCTGCTCAGGCCTGGGTAGTGGTCACGCTTGTCGCGATTGTGATCGGGCTCAATGCGGCTGCCTTGAACATCGTTACTGAGTATCTATCGGACCTAAAGATGGGCTACTGCACGACAGCATGGTATCTGAACGAAGACTTCTGCTGTTACGGCGCCGAGAATGGCTGTAATGAGTGGAAGAGGTGGTCATCCTTCGGCTTTGCGAACTACATCATCTACACCCTCTTCGCGGTCTTGCTGGCGGCCACAGCATCCTACCTGGTCAAGTTCTATGCGCCGTATGCTGCAGGTTCTGGCATATCCGAGATCAAGTGCATCATTGGAGGATTTGTGATGAAGGGTTTTCTCGGCTTCTGGACACTGCTCATCAAGTCCATCTGTCTGCCACTCGCTATTGCATCGGGGTTATCGGTTGGGAAGGAAGGACCGAGTGTGCATTATGCGACATGCGTTGGCAATGTCATCTCACGCTTCTTCGACAAGTACAAGCAAAGTGCCTCAAAGACAAGAGAAATTCTGACAGCAAGTTCTGGGACTGGTGTGGCAGTCGCTTTTGGCAGTCCTATTGGAGGTGTGCTTTTCTCCTTAGAAGAGATGTCGAGCCACTTTCCTCTCAAGACCCTGTGGAGGAGCTACTTCTGTGCACTGGTAGCCACCGCCGTTCTAGCAGCCATGAATCCATTCAGGACAGGACAATTGGTCATGTTTTCAGTCAAGTACGACCGGGACTGGCATTTCTTCGAGATCGTCTTCTACATCATACTTGGTATCTTCGGAGGTGTCTACGGCGCGGTAATGATCAAAGGCCACCTAGCTGTGCAAACTTTCCGCAAGAAATACCTTGCCAAGTACGCGATACCGGAAGCCATTGCTCTGGCTGGTGTCACAGCACTGCTATGCTATCCCAATCTCTTTCTCCGAGTCGACATGGCAGAAATGATGGAGATGCTCTTTCGAGAGTGCGAAGGAGACTATGATTACCATGGTCTGTGCGAAGCCGAGAACCGATGGTCGAACGTGCTTTCCTTGCTGGTAGCCACTGTTCTCCGATCGTGCTTGGTGGCGCTTTCCTATGGAGTGAAGGTACCCGCTGGAATCTTCGTTCCTTCCATGGCTATTGGCGCATCCTTCGGTCGTATGGTTGGCATCCTCGTTGAATGGTTACACTCCTCCTTTCCCGATTCCCAGTTCTTCTCGGCATGCGAACCGGATGTGCCTTGCATCACACCAGGCACATATGCCTTCCTTGGTGCTGGTGCTGCTCTGTCTGGAATCATGCACCTGACGATCTCCGTCACAGTCATCATGTTCGAGCTGACTGGTGCCCTGACCTACATCCTGCCTTCGATGATTGTTATTGGCGTCACGAAGGCTGTTGGTGATAGGCTTAGCAAAGCGGGCATAGCTGATGTGATGATCCAGTTCAACGGCTACCCTTTCCTTGATAACAAAGAAGAGCACAATTTTGGCGTGCCTGCGTCGCAAGTCATGACAAGCACGCTTAGGATGCTGCCTGCGTCAGGCTTAGAGGTTAAAGCGGCGCAGAAACTTCTCGATGACACTTCTTATTCGGGCTTTCCGATCGTCGAGGATAAAACATCAAAAATCCTTATCGGTTTCATCGGGCGGGTCGAATTACAATATGCTCTAGACAAGGCACGCAAAGAAGGCATGCTAGCACCTGACGCCAAATGCTCCTTTGTCCGACTCTCTGTGGACGACACCGAATCTCCTGTCTCAGCTCACGTCGGAACAACTTTCGACAGTATCGCGAGGCAAGTAGTCGATCTAAATCCTTATATCGATAGCGCACCGATAACAGTTCATCCAAGGCTTCCACTTGAGACGACGTTGGAGTTGTTCAAGAAGATGGGTCCAAGAGTAATACTGGTCGAACATCATGGACGGCTCGAAGGTTTGATAACGGTCAAAGACTGTTTGAAGTACCAGATCAGATTTGAGGCGTTAGAGCATGGCAGTCACGGTAGCCCACCAGCAGGCTCGAGCGAACAGAGGCAGGAATATATCTGGAACATCTTTGCGGGTATAGGAGTGTGGTTTGCCGACAAGTTGAACGGTCTGTCTCGAGGACGTCTGAAGTTGTCACCTCGAGCTGCTAATACAGGTGGACGTGGCTGGTCGAGGTTGCCTGGAGAAGGGGATAGACCTGCGCACGACTACGAGAATGAGAATGAGATCCTGGATGGCACGGAAGAGCTTGTGACGAGGCACGAGAGGGATAGTGTCGAGATGGATGTAAGATAGCCATGGCGCAAGCGCAGCGTGAAATATAAATCTCGCCTTGCAGGTGAATTGCCACCGAAACATGTCTTTCCAACTTCGCAATTCACGATCGTTCTTCGGCGTCACAGATGCTACAAAATTGTACCTGAGCTCGCTGAGTAGGACTCAGGCTAGGCTCTTTCCCCGCATACGGGACACTGCACCGCTCCATAGGAACCATCGGTGACATGCCTCGCGAATCACGACTTCAGAATTCTCTACCCCAGCTTATGTAAGCAGATCTGCATCTTGATGGTGGCGTCATGCAACATGATTTTAAGGTTTCACCGTT